AGTAATTGTCTACAATAGGCTCGGAGGGGTAGGGGGGTTAAGGGTAGCAAACAAACAACACATTACGTTCTTTATTATATATATATATATATATATATATAGATAGATAGATATGTTGGCGTTTGTTCATATATATACTAATATATTTGAAAATATTTACATGAGGAGTAAGGTTCAGCTGAGTAGTTGTATTTCAAAATTCTTCAAAAAATTAACTATTAGAAGAAAAATATAATTTAGATTTTGATTTTTGAGACTTTGAAGACGTACAGAATGCAGATTAATTTATAATGATGAAATTCTATTTCTATTATTTTTAAAGCAATATAAATATGTATGTAAGGCATGATAAATACTCCTAAAGTAACTTGTAATATGTAAAGTTTGTTCAATGGTATCTCAACAAAATTATGTTGTTATAAATATCGATCCCCAAAAAATTACCAGTTTATGTTTCTTCAATCAAAACTGCTACACCAATGTCGTCCACTCGTGACTTAGCACTAAGCTTGAAAACTTATGAAATTGTAATTTGGATAGTACATTTCCATTACAGACAAATATTTACTCCATCGGGTAGAATGAACATTTAATGACCAGTGACAAGGTACTTACCCAAATAGCCTCCAAGAACAACCTACAAACATGAAGCATACAACAAAACCTATATTTGACCAAATATTCATTTGACATTCCCAAACAGCATCTACTAATTAAAACTCCAGATATGCAAAAAAGGCCTTATAGATTACGAGGTGAAGTAATTGATATCCTATCCAGTTATAAAACTACTAGACTCCATCCAACATGCCTCCCAGTGGCTGAGCCAGAGATAGAACTAGCGCGGGGCAATGCTCCGCGTTCTGTGATACATAGTGGCCTTGTCTGGTCTTATCTTCTGAAAAAGAGGACCCCAATCATTTCTTTACTCCACCGCCCTGAACTGCTTATTCCGCCATTGGGCTCAGCGGTAATTCTCCAGGTTTTCGACTCTAAAAATCAGGTTTCGATACTTGTAGTGAACACAGCACAGATAGACTATTGTGTAACTTTGCGCTTAACAGCAACCAAACAAAACTAAACCTTTCAACATAACATAAAATCAATATAGAACACAGAAAAAACTCCAAGGAAACAAAAACATAACTATTAAAGTGTTGTATACATGTGGCAGTTTTCTTATGTTACATAAAGGTGTATATGAACGAATTTTTTTTAACAATTAGAAGACAATATACATATAAAAAAAATCTACTACTAAAATTGAACCAAAACTTAAATAAGTATTAGTCAACTTCAAACAACGTTCATCTGTTCTTCATAAAGTGTTATAAAATGTTAAACCTATAAACAGCCGTATTCCAGAATTTTATGAACTTGATCTCCTAGAAAATTGTTTGAGATGTGAACTGGACAACAGCTATTTTAAATTTGGAGAGAGCTTACCTAGTTAGATAAAAGTGTGACTATGAGCAACAGAACTGTTGTCATATTTCCAGTTATTTGTATGTAATTACTAGAAAGAAAAAATATAACTTGGTGGAGCGGTTTGTTTTGTTTATTTGTAATTCAGTACAAAGCTACACAATGGACAGTCTGTGCTCTGCCTCTGTGCCACTGGAGAGGGCTCGGTAGAGTGGAAAGAACAGTGTGATCACTGTCTCATGTTATGGAATTATGCTGGAGTGTGTTCCACCCCTTGTTGATATGAGAATGGCCCTCAGTCATGTGGATGGTGCATGCACCTGGAGAAAGATGACTTGGTATATAATATAATGTTTTCCATTGTTTATATATATATTTCTGTAAGTATTCTTGAGGATTTAAGATTCAGAGATATTTTTGTTACTGGGAATTTTTTTCTTTGTCTGAGATAAAGGTTTTTGAAACATTTATTGTGTGTAGCAAAGTTTAAGCCCTTGAAAGCATAGAGCTAAATGTGTCCTGGTGAGAGAGCATCAATAAAGTTCTCTCTCCAGTCGACACATATACACTACAAGTTCTTGTCCAGTGTTTGAAGTTTACTTTGTTCTGAGCAATAAAGATTGTGATTTTTACATTCTTTGTCCAATCTCTTTCTTTTGATTAAACTTTAGTCACAAGTAGAGAAAACACTGCATTGTTCCATAGTATAAAGTCTGTTGAATCCTCTAGTTTTGTGTTTTTTGCGGCTCCTACAGGTTACTGAAATGAGGGAAACTGAGAATACCATACCATTAAAGAGCAATGAGTAACAGAACCGAATACTAGTCTTTAGACATTAATCTCCTATTGTACTTGTTCTGTATGGATTATTAGAAATGAAATGAAATTATAAAGAAGGATGCCTAACCAATGCTGCAGAGGGATATTTAGAAGCCTGTGTAGATGAAGTGAGCAGAGAAAAAACAGCATTTACTGCAAGAAATGGGTTATAGCCTTTTCTGTGTTACCATTTGAATTATGTAATGTGCTTTCTTTGTATGAATGATTAATAGAATGTGTACTCTCTGGACTAATCTGGAATGTCATGCACATCTACATAAGTGACATTATCGCGCATGGAAGTACTTTTGATAATGTTTTATGATGGTATTAGAAATGTGCTGAACCAATTGTTAAAATAGGACCATATGCTTAATATCATGATGTGGGAATTGTTCTGTCGACAGGTGAGTTTCCTGGAACACAAAGCCAGTAAAAAGGGAGTTTCTACAGACTTAACCAAGATTGAATCGGTTCAGGATTTACCAATATCATAGAATTTGTGTAAGGTAAAAGGATTATTTGAAACGTGGCCTTACTATTGCCATTTTTTAAAATGATTTTCTGATATATGGCATCCTTTTACACAAACTACTAACAAAACAAACATGCTTTTCTGTACTGCTAATTTAAAAAAAAACACTCAACAAACAGAAGAAATGAATAATTATTACTCTTGTATTAACATATATGTCTTCTGATGATCCATTCATAGTAGATACAGATGCTAATGATTTTGCAGTAAGAATAGTGTTATGACAATTACAACATGGGAAAACGTATGATAATCTAATATAGCAAGACACTAACAAATGTAGAATGGGGATATTGTACAACTAAGAATGAATTACTAAGTGTTGTGTGAGCTATTAGTAGTATTCATCATTACCTAAATGGACAAAAGTTTAAACTCTGGCACATCATGTAGTGTTGAAGTGGTTGATAAGGTTATGCCACTCAGAAGGCAGGATAACAAGATGACTTCATAAAATTCAGAAGTACAACTTTAACATCATGCATGCTCCCAGTGGCACATCGGTATGTCTGCGGACTTACAATGCTAGAAGTCGGGTTTCGATACCCGTGGTAGGCAGAGCACAGATAGCCCACTGTGTAGATTTGTGCTCAATTACAAACAAACAAACATCATACATTACTTAGGATGGAACCATGGAAATGCTAATGCACTATTCCAAAAACCTTATATCACTATGAAACTTCACTAAGGTCAGGGATGGAAGTTTGAATCAGCCTTGTTTGAGAACACGTGTCCGAAACTTTGAATTAAAAAGACCTGGACAACAGCCCTTCATCCATCTTCTGATGGCATGGTTGAGAGATAAACCATATCTTGTTAAATCAATCAGTCATTTGTGTGGATGAACATCAGGAAACATGGGACGCAATTTTCCTTTGATACTTGTGAGTTATAAAACAGCAGGCCATGAAACTACAGGTAACATATCGTGATCACAAATGTTTGGGAAATAATTTAAAGTGCTATTGTACGTTTTGTACTCACTTCTGAAGACAGTCACTCAGGAAAGTCTTATGCAAAATATGCAGAAGGATAAGGAACACCATTGAAGTAACACATGACTTTACCCAAAAAAGAAACTTAAACCATCTGGTGATAAAATGTAAAGTTGCTATGATGTTAATGTTGATAAGATCAGATTCCATTAAGGTGACATGGTACGGTTACACATTCTCTACTGCAAAAGAAAAGGACAAACTCCAAAGTTAAGTAGATGTTTAGAAGGGTCATATATTGTATTGAAAAGAAGTATGAATTTCTTCATCAAAATGTGCAAGTAGGCTGCATATCTTGTAATTTAATTTGTTTTGTAACACGTTATCACATATATTAAGCAACAGATTCGTTCGATGGGAATCGGAATTTGATAATAATCAGTAGAACAACGGTAATAGCAAACATTCGACACTTTATTTTCGGTAATGTACGTTTATTCATCGGACGTTTCGGAATATTCACATTCCATCTTCAGCGACTGTATTAATTAATCGATAGTATTAAATACACAAATTCATTTAGTTGGAACATTTATAGTAGCATAAGACGAAAGAAAGAACAAACAAACAAAAACAACAGCAACCAGCAGGATTTCAACAGGAAATAACAAAATTTTAAGTTATATTACGAAACTAGTGTGGTAAAAAATAGGAGGTATAGTTCACAATGTGCTAGGGATATTTATAATAGGCTCAGCTGTAAAGAAGTTGTGTTATTGTTTAGAGTAAGGCATTCGACTAAAATGGACAAGCTTTCTTTGATGAGCAGTTCTGTGTTGGATGAACCTGTCGAAATTACTTTAAAATTGTTAATCAGAATAGGGTGGTTGTTATTTTCACTGCGTAAGTGGGTTGCTGATTCAGGTGGATTTGATAGTTTATTACCAGTCTTACTCGATATTCCCATATGTTCACAAACTCGTAGGTGTAATTGGCGTGTGGTTTTACCAATGTTACAAATAACAACCACAACGTTTAATCGCCAACACTTCGAGGAACTACTTAATCTCGCCCTCAAGGATAACCACTTCGTTTTCAACGGTCAATTATGTGACCCTAATAGATGGCGTGGCGATGAGGTCACCTTTAAGACCGACCCTCGCCAATATATTTCTTTCTCATTGTGAACGTTCCTGGCTTGACACCTGTCCAGCGGAATTCAAACCAACACATTATAAAAGGTATGTTGACGATACATTTCTCCTCTTTAGAAACCATAATCACATCAAAAAGTTTCTGGACTACCTAAATACTAAGTACCCAAACATTAATTTTACCTGCGAGATTGAAAAAAACGGTAAACTACCTTTCCTCGATGTCTTAATTAAAAAATTATATAACCAGTTTACAACTTCTGTCTATCGTAAGGAAACATATACAGGACTACATACTCGTTTTGATAGTTTATTCCATAACTGTTTTAAAAGTAACCGCATCCTAAATCTCCTCAATAGAGCATACAACATCTGTTCTAATTATTTCTCTCTCCATACCGAAATCACTACCCTACAAAACATCTTAACAAATAACGGCTGGAGACGGCCTGATGATGACAAAACCTTGTCGAAACGTTGTACATTTGCTGTCAT